ACCGCAGAACAACGCCTTAACGTCCATCAAGGCATTGATCTCCGCGGGGAAGTAATGTGGTCCAAAGTTCCTCTACACAAAAGAGTGATGATTATGTGCTTATGTCGATCAATGAAAGTTTAGGGAATAGAAAACAATATTAAATAATAGTCAGACCTTAGATACTTGTTCTTTTAGGGACGAAGTTGACCGTCCTATCAAGCAAGAAACCTCTTTGTCCCAGAGAAGAAAGGACGCATGCGATGTTTTATCGACAACCCTTACGTTCACTCTATACCTCAGAACAACATCCGAAGAATTGCAAGATAAGCAGTGAAAGGTGTCACCATTTGGTGTCACTTTACGGTTGCATCCTATGCATGAAACATAGGACCGATCCTTGTGACTGTCTATCCCCGCAATTTCTCCGTAGACCCAATGCTTACCATCCTTTAAAAGGTATAAAAAAAGTAATTTGCGTCAAGGCATTAGTACAATATACACTTCTCTTTTTCAAACAAACCTCTTCCATTTGTGTGAGTTGATCAATTGTCACCAGTTCAACTTGGCCAATGCTAATGTCGCCCTCATTAGAAGTATCAGAAGAAATTGTGAAACTCAAACCCTCACCGCACCTATCAGCCATCATGCGTTAAAAAGAAGTCAACTCACCATCACAAAATGTAGTTGCACTTATAATTGTGAAACTCAAATCATTATAAACCTTGATCTGAAGTCGTTAAACTCGTCCTCAACCCCGTTTAGAATAACCTTAGTTGTGTTGAACATGTTGGATACATGAACTTGACCTGAAAATAATTATTTCATGAGTTAGCAATTAACCAATTTTTTTAAAAATTTTTAACAACTGAATCCATATTCTACCCTGGTATTTCTTTGCTCGACATCATTGAAGAAGCATGACAATGGGTTCAGCCGTGGTCAACTTATATGTTAACATCATTTCAACCATCGGACCCCAGAGCGTGCAGCCAATTACATTCCCCCTTATAAAGAACACATTTCAAAATTAGAAAAACATCAAGTAGTGCAACAAATTGTGCATTGACTTGAGTTATGAAAGCGTACTTGGTATCCCCTAAGATGAGCTCAATCAGCTTTTATGGGCGGTCATTCTTCAGAATTGCCTTTGGATCTTTATCATGGACGACCTGTCCAATAATATCTGCATATGTTTTCTTTATATTAATCGATCAACAATAAAGTACACAATCTTATTCTATTCAGTTTAAAACGTACCGACTGCAGCTTTGTCGTCGATAGTTTCCGCTACTTGTAAGGCAGCAAAGGACACTAAATTAAAAGTCCTCAAAGGGAATGGAACCTGGATTTCGAAGGCTTCACTTTTCTTAAAGAAACGAAGCCTGTATGCGCTCATCGTTGTTTTGAAAAACATGAAATTTTCCTCAACCATAAAGTTTTTCACGGCATAAACCCGACCCTCTCGAAATAAAGTTTTCCCCATTGTAAAACACAACACAAATCTAGTATAAATAAGCTTAAATAGTTAAGATCACCTCTTCATCATGAAATATTATTTCTAAAGATGGAAGAAATCCATCATGGGCGAGTTCCCTGTACACCCTCGTTGCCCTGGTCTTTTTGGCCCAAGTGGTTCTACTTTGATCAATTTCTCGAATCATAGACCATAATCCAACCATTTTGAAATAAATAACCCTTTCTTATGCTATGATATATTTGAATGTGTGATGTTTGATGCAAGCACAATGTCCTTAAATAGTCACACATTAGGAAACAATTTGTGTGGTATAGTACACCACCACCCATTTAGACCAATAGAATTTCACCATTTCACATATTTCCTTTAGGCTTTCATTCACCCACACCGTAAGTGTTAAATAGTACTACCTCCGTTCCCATTTTAACTTCCAAATGTGTTTGGCACAAAGTTTAAGATAGTGAATATTGTGTGGTGGAGAGTTGTGCAGAGGAGAGAGAAATGTGTAAGAAATATTGTGAACCACAAATTCTTTACCAAAAAGGGAAAGTGGAAGTTTTAATTGGAACGGATGAAAAAGGAAAGTTGGAAGTTTATTTAGGAACGGAGGGTGTAGTACATACAGTGATCATCACCCTTTAGAGGCAATAGAAGAACTTAGATCGAAAATATCTTCTCCATCGAATCAACTTTTTTCCCTAAATAGTAATCACCACCCATTTGAACCAATAGCAAAAACCGGGATATAATTTTTGGCTAATAATTGAACCAAGTCAATAGTACCCACCTCTCAGTTAACCAATATATAGGCACATTCATCTCATGACTGCATTTGGTCCGTAATTATTTGGTCAAAAAATAATTTATTTTGATTTTCCCCTTTAATAAAAAATAACCTAGTGACTGATCGATGTTGACCTTTTTGAGTGGGAACACTGTTTGCAAAAAATATTTTGCTTTTATATTAGAATAGATTCTCACAATACTTTTTAATTCAGATTTCCACTTTCAGATCGTAATGCCAAACACAGCTTTCGAAATTCACTAAGCTGAAATATAAAAATTTAATTATAAGATGACGGCTGAAAGGTAAATATCTGCTTCACCCAAAGGTAAAAAAATTATGCTTATTCGTATGGAATCACATAACTAGGGGTGTACATAAAACCCGAACCATATCTGTACCAAACCGGCCCGTGATGGTACTGAACTGAATACCAGATACTTAAACGGTTCTATAGATTTTTATCCTGAACGTACTTGTTTGAACTATGCCCAGATTTCAACAGTCGAATAAACTATGAATAATTGGAAGAATTAAAAGAGTAAAAGAGAAATCTCACCAATAACGTATACCGTGTATATATAATGATGAATTCATGAATAACAATGCACAATACTCGAATGAATAAATTTGAAAGAGAATTTCTAATCTACTGGCTCTACAGAGAATAATATGCGGAAACAGATTGTGTAGAGGCTTAGAATTCTAGAAAGAGAGTTTCGAGAATGATATGGATATTCTAATTGTGAAACCCTCAAGTATGTTCGGTCCATTCCCCTTCTATTTGCAGAGGGATGGCCGAACATCCTTGTTACATTAGGATGGGCCGAATGATCTCTAATTAAATGACCTTAACTAATTACTTAGCCCACTAATTAAATCCTAATTAAACAAAGATAAATCTAATTAAATTGAACACAATAAAATATATTCTAACAGTACTGAAACTGTGTCATTTGAAACGAGTACGAGATCGGTCCTAGATTTGAGAATCCAAAAATATTGGACCGGACCATTAAAAAATAATGCAATTGAATTTTTTATATTTTTCCATACCAATAAATCTCTTTTATATACCAACTATTTTATAACCAAAGAATTTTTTCATGAGTCCCTTAAATAGCTAAATGTGTTTATATATATATATATATATATATATATATATATATATATATATATATATATATATATATATATATATATATATATATATATATATATATATATATATATATATATATATATATATATATATATATATATGGAATGGTTCAAATACAAAGAGGTCTTCCCATGCAAAGTGGGAATTAATCTCGTGCATTCATTTTCAGATCTAATGGCTCAAAATGAGCCAAAAGTGAACTAAATTTGATAAAAAACGCGGTGGCAATTTCGTGATTAAAATGAAGTTTTTTGCCATCGCCAAAAAGTGCAACAGAAACACGCAAAAGTGCAACGCGGTGGCAATTTCGTGATTAAAATGAAGTTTTTTGTCATCGCCAAAAAGTGTAACAGAAACACGCAAAAGTGCAACGCGATGACGAAAAAGTGCAACCGTTCGCACTTTGCACGGGAGAACCTCTTTTTATTTGATCTCTTCCCTATATATATATATATATATATATATATATATATATATATATATATATATATATATATATATACACACACACACACACACACAGAGAGAGAAGATCTCATTAGAAGTCCTAATTAAAACAAATGGTAATTGACCATGCGTATATTGGAGTTTACTTAAGTATAATATTGTAAATTTTTCAACATATTTTTACAATGGTGTAGTTATGCATATATTTAAATATAGGGAAAAAGGTCAGATAGGCCCTCGAACTTACATAAAAAGGTCAAATAAGCCCTTATATAGAGACTCTGTCCGGCCGTCGCCATTTGGGACGGTTCCCGGTGGAATTTTTTGATGAAATTTGTTTAGCATCTTATTCATTAAGTCTAGTTTACGCATACCAAATTCCAGCTAAAACTTTAATCGGGAGGGCATTCAAATGAATTCTTGAAGATAACTGCGCAGTTAAAAGCATTGTGGTGTTTGGGTGAAAGTGCAGAAATGATTATGGTATTTTAATTTACTCATAGAATCAGTTTTTTTAGAAGCTGGGGGTGGCCAGCTTCTGAAAACTGATTCTGATTCTGCTTCTACTTTAAAAAAGAAGCAGAAGCAGAATCAGTTCCAAACACCTCATTAAATCAAATAAGTCGATCATGTTAGTGTTTAAATATTATCAAGTCAAACAATCTTAAATCTCCCCTTTTTACAATTTCACAAAGAAGAGCTACATTTATCTGTGATTACACAGCTTACTACTACGTACATTAATAACATTATATTATGGTATTAGCACTAGTATTATTTTTATTTTGAGTCACACAATGATTTTAGTGCAAATTTTGAATGGCTTAATGCAAAGTAACATGTGGTTATTGTTTTTGTATATGGATTTGGGTTTCATTTTCCTTTCACTGCTTTCTTCTTTCCTTCTTTAATGTCATTTGACTTGCAACTTTATTTCATTGAAAAACTTGAATTAAATAGAGAAGATATACTGACTATTGAACTTCGATCATGTCATATTTAAACTAATTAATTATTACTCTTAGTTTATTATCACGTTATTGCCAACATATGACCTAGAGATAGTTGGGCGGGAGAACACTATTGAAAGAACAGTGTCAAAAACATTTTGCTTTTATATAATGATAGATAGGTGTTAATTAAGAGTAAATTTGCACTTGCACCAAAATATTAAGGTGTATTTTCACATTTTCCGTATGTCGAATGGTCAAAAGATTCATAAAAATAAGACGATCTTAATTCCACCGTCTTGGCAAATGAAAAAATACAGAATTACAAACAGTGAAACTTACAAAGCAAATTCAGGACGCACCTTCTTTAAAAAATAAAGGTATACGCCCTCCCAATACAACAATGGTTTATGCAATTATCAAAAAAACAGAGGATGGTTGTTACAGCATATATTGTTTCATAGGGAAACATATGTTGGGGCATAAATAATGCTATTTTGAGGGTGGGTGGCAACCTCATCATCATCAGTCATACATAGGAGCATGTTTTTGGGGGCAACGGAGAAACTTTCGGCAGTTCACCAGAGCACATTGGAGTTTTCGGAAGCTTATAAACATCTGCAGCTTGTCGGGGTGGTTCGAGTCCGCTGATTTCTCGCATGATCTGAGCTTTGTCAGACTCAAAAACTTCATCATCTACACACACACAAAAGAGAAGTAGTGGAAAAGATTCAGTGCAGCATTCCAAAACGTGCATTGAATTGGTCAAAAACGCGGTGACAATTCTATATACTCCGTATGTCATAAAATTGCAGCACCTAGAAGTAAAAATAAAGATTTCGCATTTCTCACGTCAAACCCCACATTCTCACCTTTATCCATCCTCAAACCGGCAAAGAGGCGGAGGAGCTTTTCTTTGTTGTTAGCAAGAACACTGGTGATACCCGGGGGTCTATTTGTATTTGCCACAAAAAGCTGAAACCGGCTCGAAAAAACACGTGTAAAAAAATTGGGGTTAAACATAAGGATGAGAAGAAAAGAAAAGGGATAAAAGTGTCATGCACTCGTGCACATTTAGAGGTTTTGTGATTTTGTTGAGTCATGTCTTTTAGACAGACCTTGAACACATGAAATGCATCTAACTGGATTGGCCTGCTTGACTCCTGCATCACAGAACAAGCATTGATATGTTGGGCAAGTTCCTTGTTGCAATTTGTGAAGTGTGTGTGCGCGCGCGCGCGCGCAAATATACATAAGATGTTTTTCTTGTTTCAACTTACCCTTAAAAGATTCATTAGAATAATCAAATTGTCCAATGTGCTCACATAGCGTACCATCACACAAGAATTTGAACGATCAAGCAAAATATCACCCAAAAGCTGATGACAAGAAACGGGAGGCAGCATCAGTACTCAACAAAGAAGTCAAGCAAACACATATGTTCAAAGATGTTATGTCATCCCATACCAGCTAAATACAATATATACAAATTTATATATACAGTTTGAGTTACTCTAAGGTTAACTTTTTAGAATATAACCTCATGTTTTAGTATGGTATAAGAATCTATTACGCTTTAACGAGCAATTCGATTCAACTGAAACTCAAAAAAGTCATTCCATAGGATATTAAGTCATTCCATACAGAAAAGTTCAAAGCTACAAACCTACATAATAAAAGCTACATATATAATCACATCAGATAAATTAAACAAAGCTCCGGCTACTGGTCTTGAGATAGCCTATCAGTTTATTAGGTTTGGACTTTGGCTGTATTCGGATCTTTAAGGAATGCCCTTATTATTTTTGTCTCATTAATATATTTTAGAGTTCACCAAAAGAGGAAAAGCTCAGGCATCTGCAGCAGTACACTACTATACCTTGACAGCTTGTCTTCTGGTAATATAATTTGGAGATCCCAAAAGTTTGAAGTTGAACTCCGTGAAAAACTACAGCCAATAACGGAAACATAATAAGATTTCACCCTTTTATCCAAAAAGTGATTTGGCTATTACACATATAAAGTTATTAAAAGCCAAAACAAGAACCACACAGCATGATTAATATATAAATAAACATAGTACCCAATTACTGTTTCCAGAAAGAAATTCTGTCACTGTAGATTTATGCCTCGTCATCAGCTCCTGAAATAGATAGGTATAATTTGAAAAAGGTTAATGTCACACTCTACGATAGTCAAATAAGGGTATACTGTATGTGAGTCAAACTATCTGTGAGATGGGCGCCCAATTTTTTGAAGCTTAAAGGACATCGATTCTTTTAGAACTAAAATTGATGGAAATAGAGAATATGGTCAAAACACACACTTTAAAGAAAAAATAAGAGAATGTTTTTCTGACTTAATAAGTGTAGCATTTCATAAACCACACACAATAGAGATTTGAGAAAATAGGAATGCAAAGGAAGTGACAAACAAAATGGAGAATGAAATTGAACTAAAATGAAATACAAACAGACTGCAAGATTCAACTGAGGCAATAGAATATGATTTGGACTACGATTGAGGATTTGGTTGGGCCATTCACCCAAGTAGTGGGATCAAGTACACTATTGGAATTAATCCAAATGACAATCTAGTTCAATTCAATACTTTACTGTCCTATATATGTATCTTAAATATTCTAACAGGGAGCTTCCTTAATAGTCTACTCAAATGAAAATCTGGATCATTTTGAATCGAAACCAGTTGTTCATTAGGTTAGAGTGCATGATCTAGTCTCGAGTGAGTGAGTGGGTCTGTGTGTGTGTGTATGAGAGAGAGAGAGAGAGAGAGAGAGAGAGAGAGAGAGAGAGAGAGAGAGAGAGAGAGAGAGAGATGGGGAACTAAACACAACCTTAAAAGTAGTTGCGGCATCTGCAGCAACATCAAATTCAGGAAGTTGCATGTATCCGAAAAACTTTTGGACATGCTCTGACTTCAAGATATGACTGAAGATAGTAACACATCAAAAGGTCAAAGGAGCTTGCTTGCTACAAAGCAAATAAAAAAGAGAAGATCACAGGCAAAGAAGCCAATAGGGTGGTGAAACCAAACATACCTAGCAACGATCTGGTGGCGAATGCACTCCCTCAGCATTGCTCCATAGTGCAAGGCAAGACTTGAATCCTCATATCTATAAAAGCTAGGGTAAGTCTATATATACGTAGTGCGTGTTGTATTAAGGTTGCTAACCAGGGGTAAAAATATAAAAAAAGACTAGCTCACCCAGATACCAAATGATCCACAATATCAAGGGGTAAAAATAACAAGCAAAACCATACGCTGTGTTGAGAAGAATCATAAAATACAAAGACTAGCTCACCCAGATACCAAATGATCCACAATATCAAGGTTGCCTTCCAAGTAGTCAGAAGCAATCAAGCGTGAGTTAACAGGCTGCCTTTGCAAATTTGCAACAACTTGAGTGGCATCCTTTCGTGCCTAGAAAAGCAAACCATCACATGAATGGGGACAAATGGTGAAAAAAGAGGAGCAAATAGAAAACTGTATGGATCATTTATATATGTATATTGCAATACCATCATCTGGATACAACAATAAAATAGTGTAATTACAGAATGATTAGTGTTTTCTAGTATGAAATAATGCTTTAAGCGGCTCATTACTATCAAGTATGAATTCGAACCATTACAACATGTTTATACTTCAATTTTAAATGAAGATAACTCTAATTTCAAAGATGGATAAATCTTAACCGTTTGAAATGAGCTTATATCATCTAGCTTCGAACAAATTGAAGATTTAAATGTTGGAATTAGTAGTTGATACTATTATTGAGAAAAAAACTGAACTGATGAAGTGAAGTGATTTAATCGCCGAAATCAGAGTTGGGCTGACCAAGTTCCTTTAACACGTGCCAAACAAGATTAGTACCCCATGCATATTATGTGTGTACATGTGGGTATATGGTTACCTCCAAATTCAATTTGGGAAGACAAAGGACGATGAGACGAAGTGTATCCCCTTTAAAAAACTCCTGAGTCAGTTGGGCACAAGCTTCAGTAGTAGGCTCAGATTCACTGCTTCCATATAGGACTGATTTCATCTCCCTAATTAGTGTGTCTATTTCAGCCATCTGATTAAGAGAAGACAGGGGAAGTGAACATGTGAATTAAATACAGAGCAGAGTAAGATAATGATGGTTAAGAATAAATTACACCCTTGCACCACCCATGACTCTGCTAGAGTTCATTCATCATAATCTTTGCATAATAATAATCTTTTAAAGGTAATACAAATACTACAAAGGCCAAAACCTAACACGGAGAATAAATTATATAATCAAATGTTTGGTATCTCGCTATCTCTTACTCTGTAATATATTAAAGCACACAAAACCACTGTAAGATGAAACCTTAACATAGCATTAATTAAAGTCTAAGAAACTGAAAGAAAAGTATGGTCCCAATAAGCCTCAACAAAAAAACACAAGCATCAAGATTGATATAACAAGTTATCATCTTGATTCTTGAGGACATGTCAAACCACTCGATCAAATATGAAAATAAAAAATCACCACTTAAGATATTGAACTACCCTCCTATTTTATGTTGAGTTTTATTTTCAAAAATATTACTGAAATAAATTTATTTACAAAAATATGACTAATAATTAAGGTGTACTGTAGTATAGGCTCATAGTCAGTTAAATGTAAAAATATAACATGACTAGGTTACTACTATAGTAACTACACTTCAGATGTCACATTTTTACAAAAAACATTTATTTTGATCATATATATGTAATTATTTATTTTATGTTTATCTTTTAAAATGGATGAAAAATTTAATACGTAGCATAAAAGACGTGATCAAATAAACTTCACCAGCAAACTCTTAAATGAACTCTCTCCGTCCCACAATTAAATTCTCATTGTGACATTTTGAAAAAAAAAAACTTAGTTAACTTTTGACGTATTAATAAAAAAATCATATTATTTATAATACAAATAATTTAAGTACTTTATTTTAATATATATTATTGAAATGTTAATTTATTATAGTTTTTATAAGTCTATAATCTTAAATATTAGTGGTCACACGTAGACTTTGAATATAGTTAAAGTCAAAATGTGAACTTAATTATGGCAGTAACCACAAAGTGAAGCTATATCCCTCGTCCTATTTTCGTCCTATTTAAAGTTTGTATATTGACTTCCTAATAATTCATTTTAGCTCTTTCAAAAAAATATATTCATTTTAGCAATTGATTTTTAAATAATACTCCGTACCTCGTAACTCATTATAGACTTTATAGATACGGAGTATATAGTGGTAAATAATACCAGTAGTAGTCAAAGATGTACAACCCCTACATCAAAACGGGAACTTTTCATGTGGACGAAGGTAGTACCGACACAATATCAATAATAATTTATTATTATATGCATAAAAACAGAATAATAATAATAATAATCTTAATAATAATTAATAATGGTCAACAAAAAGCGTACAATATGATCGAATTAGCAGTTGTGAGATTGATATGAGCATGACCTACCTTCTGAAAATGTTTAACCTGGTCGGTGTCGTCAAATGAATGGAGGGCGTCGAGCATCAAGGTTGTCCGGGAGACAACCTCGGCCGGGGTCCGAGGGCGGCGGGGCTTGGTTTTGAAGAAGGCCCTGACGACGACATTCCCCAGCATCGCCTTATTGAAAGCCTTCTTGAGTTTACCGGAAGATCGTTTGAGAGCCTTGTCATTGTCAGCCTTTCCGACACCTAGGGAAACGGCGGCGGGTTGGGTGGACGGCGTTGGCATTGTGGGCGGCGGAGGTGAAGGGTAAAGGCCGAGCAACGACGAAGACGCCGAGGTTCTCCTAATCTCCCCACACGGTGTTGCACTGTGAAGAGGAGGAGGCGGCGGAGAAGGACGCTGAAAAAGAAGAGAACGCCATCAATTTTAAGTAAGGCATTGGTGGAAGGATTCGGATCCGATGGTTTGGTTGAAGGGTAGAAATTGAGGACATTATGGAGAGAGAGATGAGGATTTTCTGGTGGCCTCCAAATTTCATACGGAGATACTACGTTCTTGGACCTTCATCATCACTCTTGCTCCAACCATTTCCCCCCTTCCTTTGATCCTAAAGTCTTGGGCTATCTCTCTTTACAGGTCTTCTTTTCCTTTCCGTCCGTGATCAATCCAAAATACCATTATTGTTACTTTTATAAAAGGAAAAGAATGATATAGCTAGAACTATAGAGTAAACCCTCTGACTTTCTAAAAAAGTGGGATGCAATTAAGACATTTTATAGGAGACTCTGTCCGGCCGTCACCATTTGTGGCGATTTACGTTGGAATTTTTTTATGATTTTTTTTTAAAATGTTCTTCATTGAGTCTAGTTTACTCATTCCAAATTTCAGCTAAAACTTCAATCAGGAAGGTAGTGAAATGAATTTTTAAAGATAACTGCGCAGTTAAGCAGCGCAGTATAATTCAGAAAATCATTTTACTACCTTTTCGATTGTATTTTTAGCTGAAATTTGGTATGGGTAAACTAGAGTTAACGAAGAAGATGCTCCAAAAATTTCATCAAAAAATTCCACTCGAACCCGCCCCAAATAGCGACATTCGGGCAAAGCGTCCTGTAAAAGGGCTTATTTGCACTTTTTATGAAAGTTCGAGGGCTTATTTGATAGTTCTTCCATGATATTTTTAGGCATTATTGATACTTACCAAAATTGTATAAGACCATTCAAACAAGAAGAAATATAATTTATTTGTTATATTTATATAGTTATCTCTCATGCTACATGTGTATCGTGAACATTGTAACATTGAAGATGATTAATGTCTTTTTCGTTCATTACTTAGCTTGGACGTTGTATCACAAGGATTAGGACGTTTGGGTAACATAAATTAAACACAATTTGGAAATAGTAGAAATATGTACGGAGTATAAAATATGACAGGTGTTGAGTTCAAAAATCCATGAAACACCACAAAAAAATTACGGGATTGACACCAAATTTGGCATGAATTTACCGATTTTTCATGCCAAATAGCTCATGCCAAAGTGTTTTTTGGCACGGATTTGGCATATCCCTGCCAAATCCCTGCCAAAATCCCTGTCAATCCAATGGTTTTTTAGTGAAAGTAGTTTTAGCTCAATTCATTCCGGGGCGGAGCCAGAAAATGATTTGAGAGGGTCATAATTCAATTTTATACAAAATAAAAACAATATACTCGTATTTGTTTTTAGAGAATACAAAAAATTGAACGTAGTTTATATCGATGGTACTTCAAATGGGACTAATAGAGTTATATATTTTATGGTGCCGTTTGGAGCCCATAAAATAGGCTGATAAGCCTTAAAATAGGAAAAAAGAGCCAAACACTAGCCATTTGGGTTGTTTGGGCTGATATTACTTATCAGCCAAAAAAGTAACCCAATGGTTACTTTTTCCGCTGAAACTCATTAATGTATCCGTTGCCAGACCTAAGTACCTCTTTACCCTTTTATTTTCTTTCGCATCTTCTCCTCTGGCCATAGCGACGAGAACCTCCAGAGCTGCGCATTCTTTTGTCCAGATCGAGTTGCCATACTTTTGTCCAGGTCAATGATTTCCTCCTCGACTGCGCCCTAGTTTCTGCCTTCCAGATCCACAAATTCTTGCTTGGGTTCTCCATTTTCATCTAAAGGTAAGTTGACCTACCCTCTATCTTCTTCTTCTTCAATTGTTTGTTGCCATGGGAGCAGTCAGGAAGAACAGGGAGTCACCTATTTGTTTTTAGTGTTAAGAACATTGATTATTCTATTGGGGCATCAGGTGCTTATTGTTCCTTTTAATATGAACTCTGTATCCATTTTTTTACTCAGTGATAGGTGCATCAAGAACTAAGTTATAAAAAATATAAGAGTATAATGTACGTACTGTGCAAATCCAAAATGATTGGGGATAGTATAATAAAAGAATTCAGTTTGGTGTTATCATTTTATTATTTGTAATACAAAAGTGGAGTTTTATAAAGTTCATAGTTCGGATAGTATGAAATGTCAGATAGTTCATATTTAAAGTTCTATGTAACATGAGGTACTGCTATGTAATCCTCATTATAAGCCTCATCACACCCCTTTCTTGAGAAAACTTAGGCATTTTTTACTCAGGAATTGTGTTGGATTGTTTGATGACGTTTTCTAAGGATATGATTGCACATGTTGACCCCACTTTTGAGAGTGTAGCACCTGATGAAAGATATTTACCGCATTTCAAGGTAATTAATTACCTATTTACTTGTCATTATTATACTTAATGAGTGCACTCTTCAAGTGAAAATTGGTGTTGAATTTAGGACCGTATTGGAGCTATCGATGGTACTCATGTTCCAGCCATTATATTTGAAGAGAAAAAAGATATGTGGTACAATCGCAAAGGATTTATTAGCCAAAATATCATGGCAGCTTGTAGCTTTGATCTTCAATTTACATTTGCCGTTCCGGGATGGGAAGGATCAGCTCATGATGCTAGAATTCTACGAGAGACACTTGAGAATCCTAGCTTGGGATTTCCCTATCCCCCACTTGGTATGTTTTAAATTTGTGTGTATCATGATACAACTATTTAGTAGAGCTAATTATTCAATGTTTATTTAATTAGGTAAATACTATTTGGTAGATGCGGGGTACTCTATTCAAGAAGGTTTTCTGCCGCCACACCGTAACACTAGATACCATCCATCTTCTTTCAATGGAGAGAGGCCGAACTCGGGAAAAGAGTTTTTCAACAAGAAGCATTCATCGTTGCGTAGTTGCATTGAGCGAACATTTGGTGTTTGGAAGGCAAGGTGGCGTATCCTTAGATTCATGCCTTCTTATCCTTTTAAGGTGCAGGTCAAAATTATCTTAGCAACCATGGCACTACATAATTTCATCCGCCGATATTCCAATGACGATCCCGCCTTTTTTTGTTTTGAGACAAACCTTGATTTTGTTCCGGAAGATCGCATTACTCCAACACAAGAACCAACCGAAAGGTCTTCAAATGAGGTTCGCGGTGTGAGTTCTCAACGTATGATTGCATTGCGAGAAGAAATTACAGAAAATTTAACGCGCAATATGAGGCAACGTCGTTGATGGTGTATAGCGATTGCATGTGTTCTATTATATATTTTCTTTGCTTAACGTATTTATGTTTGAATTTATATTTTAATGAACTCCGATGAATACTAATGTGTATTTTATGTTTTATTTTATTGTAGTTTAAATGCATGTGAGCTTGTTAATATACTTCATAGAAAATATATTTTTTAAAATTAATTTACTCATATTACTCACAAAAAATAATACTAATGTCGCTCATTCGAAAATACGCATTATTTGGAAATTAGTTGTATAAACAATATAAAATTCGACATAAGAGTAAGAATGAAAATTTAAAAGTAAATGATTAGATTAATTAAGTATTCTTTGAAGTGCACACCATATATTTAACACAAATAAACAAATACCCTTAATGGTAATTTTACATTCAATCAGCAATTTCAGCCGACATATTACCAAACACTTTCACTTCAGCAGTTTCAACCTTTTCAGGCTTTTCAGCCCTTCCAGCCGGTTCAGTTGCTTCCAAACAGGCCCTATATATATTATAAACTTGTTTAGAAATTACTTCAAATAGGACTAAAACTATGGTAAAAACTCAAAATAGGATTTACTATATTTTCTTTTCAAAATAGGACCATATTAGTCCTATTGGAAACATACCTATTTTTTGATTCCATTCTTACCCTTCCTTTAAATATTAGTTAATTAAATGTTTAATTCATAATAAATTCGAAAAAAATTCAAAAATTCGTAGAAAAATAATTACAAAATTATAAAATATTTATAAAATAAAAAATTAAAAAAATATTTTTTTTTATTTTATTTTTTAAAATTAATAAAAAAATAGTAAAACTCCATAAAAAAATAAAAAAAAATATGGATGCCTTTCCCACCGCCTGTGCTACCTCCCTGCACCACCATCTCCGGCTGGTGAAAAAAATGCCATTTTCCCTAAAAACTGCCATTTTTTTCTGAAAATGCCAAAAACATGGCATATTTCTCTTTGAGAATGCCAACATTTTCACTGTTTTCTGCCATAAATATGACATTCGTAATGAACTTGGCATTTTTTTCCCTGGTGACTTGAGGTGGTGGTGTAGAGGCGGCAGTGAATTTTATTTTATTTTTTTGAGTTTTTAAATTTTTTATTTTTTTTTATTTTTTGAAAAAAAATAAATTAATTAATTACTATTATCGAAATATTTTTATTAGTTTTTTAGTATTTTTTACGATTTTTTATTATTTTTTATTATTATATTATGAATTAAAACATTTCAATAGCTAGAAGGGTATATATATTCAAGACACACATAATTAGTCCTATGAAAACATAGCTTAGTTTTTTGTCCTATTTGTGAAAAGTAAGTGACTTTTAGTCCTATTTTGATAATTAACCCAAACTTGTTTTATATTGATTTAGTCGACAGGTTCCCGCACAGATGACTGTCTCAGATGAGACTTTTTGTCTTATCCTAGAACTCTATAGTTCCCCTCTCACCGTGTTTTACCGTTTAATGTTAGAATTTCTTACTAGAAAAGAATCAGCTATTTAGTAAGCACTCATATTTATATGATAGTGGTTGTCTTTGCTCTGTCTATAAGTCATGTCACATGAGTAGTGAATGAATTATGCTACATACGTCCCGTTGGAAGGTTCCCATATCAAAACGACACTGTTATTTAGACAACAATTAAATAAAGTACTTTGAGTACATTTTGAGAAATAATTTTAATAGTATATATTATAATGTAGTTAGTATTGATAATTGTGATGTTATAAATGTATTATTTTTAATTAATATTTAATGATTAATTTGTCACTTAAGATTAGTAATTGTTTCCTAAAATGGAAATGAGAACTTTTATATTGGACATCCAAAAAATGAAAGTGAGAACCTTCTAATGGGACGGGGGTACCTTATTTTTAAAATTTGGAAATGTAATCAATATTACTCATCAAATTTTACTGATTAAATTTAGATTGTGTTGATTTCCCAGAAGCGGCCAAGTCATAATTTTTTACTCATAATGAGTTACGAGAGACATAATATATCAAATCGAAAGCAAAATGAAAGTGAGAACCTTCTAATGGTTGTACTGCATACTGCAAGTCTTCCCGTATTTCTACCGGTGGCTTCTCGAGAATATGAGATGGATCACGCATGTACTTCTTGATCATTGACACATGATATACGTCGTGGATTTTCTCTAGTTCTGGGGTTAGTTGAAGACGATACGCTACGGCTCCGATCCTCTCAAGGATCCTGAACGGACCGATGTATCGCGGGTTGAGTTTACCTCGGCTAAGGAATCGGATAATCCCCTTCCAAGGCGACACCCTAAGGAATACCTCGTCCCCAACTTCGAACACCAACGCCCTCCGGCGTTTATCCGCATAGCTCTTCTGCCGATCCTGGGCAACCTTTAGTCTGTCTCGTATAATCTTACCTTACTTTTGGTGATTTCCACCAACTCAACGCCCTCGAGCTTGGCTTCACCTACTTCGTCCCAGCACATCGGTGTCCTCCACTTTCTCCCATACAATGCTTCATAGGGAGGCATACCGATGCTGGCTTGATAACTATTGTTATAAGCAAACTCCACCAACGATAGATGCTTGTCCCAACTCCCTTGGAACTCCATAGCGCATGCCCTCAACATGTCCTCTAAAATCTGAATTACCCGTTCAGATTGTCCATCTGTCTGTGGATGAAAAGCGGTACTAAACTTTAGCTTGGTCCCCATGGTCTCCTGAAATCTTGGCCAGAATCGAGATGTAAAACGTGGGTCTCTGTCTGATACGATGGTCACCGGAATCCCATGCAGACTCACAATCTCGTCTGTGTATAACTTGGCTAACCTTTCGAGCGAATAAGTCGTGTTAATAGGCAAGAAGTGTGCATTTTTTGTCAACCTATCAACTACCACCCAGACCGCATCAAAATTCCTAACCGTTCGTGGTAGCCCCACCATGAAATCCATGGTCACGTGCTCCCACTTCCACTCTGGGATGGTGAGTGGTTGCAATAATCCTACCGAATGCTGATGTTCCGCCTTAACCTGCTGGCATGTTAGGCAGCGACTTACGTACTCTGCGATGTCCTTCTTCATACCCGACCACCAGTAACTCTCCTTGAGATCGCTATACATTTTTGTGCCTCCCGGGTGCATGGCGTATGCTGACGAATGAGCCTCCTCCAGGATAGACTTTCGGAGTGCCTCATCTCCCGGTATGCATACTCTATCACGAAACAGTAGGAGCCCATCATTTCCAACTCGGAAATCGTCAACGGACCCCGCAAGCATCCATTCTCGAACTTTCCGAAATCCCTCATCCTTATCCTGACGCTGTTTGATCTCGTCAAGCAAGGTGGTTCTCACCTCAAACCTGGCCACTAGGGCCCCGTCCATGGATACCACCATTCGTGCCCTCAATGCCCGCAAGCATGTGAGCAACGCCCCTGATGAGCTCTTTCTGCTAAGTGCATCGGCCACTACGTTTTCCTTTCCTGGGTGATAGTCGATGATCAAGTTGTAGTCCTTGATCAACTCCATCCACCTTCTTTGTCTCATATTCAGGTCCTTCTGCGTGAATACGTACTTCAAGCTCTTGTGGTCGGTGTATATATGACACGTCTCCCCGTAGAGATAGTGTCTCCAAATTTTCAGCGCGAATACTACAGCTCCCAATTCAAGGTCATGTGTGGGATAATTAACCTCGTGCTTCCGTAGCTGTCGCGAAGCATAAGCGATCACCCTCCCTGCTTGCATCAAAACACATCCTAGCCCTTGGATGCTAGCATCGCTGTAGACGTCATAACCCAGCCCTTGTACTGGTAATGCCAATACCGGTGCCTCAGTCAATCTCTTTTTCAATTCTAGAAATCCTGTCTCGCACTTGTCATCCCATACAAACTTGACTCCTTTTCTGGTAAGCTTTCTAAGTGGAGATGCAAGTACGGAGAATTTCTCAACAAACTTGTGATAGTATCCCGCCAACCCGAGGAAACTTCGCACCTCTTTCACATTTCTGGGACTCTCCCAATTCATGACAACCTCGATCTTTGTGTTATTGACAGAAATGCCCGAGCCCGATACCACATGTCCCAGAAAATCAATTTCTTTCAACCAAAACTCGCACTTAGAGAATTTGGCAAAGAGCTGCTTCTCTCTCAGTGTCTCGAGGACGAGCCTCAAGTGTCGTTCATGCTCTTCTTCGTCCTTTGAGTATACCAGGATGTCGTCGATGAACACAATGACAAACTGGTCCAGGTATGGACGGAATACCCGATTAATGAGATCCATGAATGCCATGGGTGTGTTGGTTAAACCAAATGACATCACGAGAAACTCATAGTGGCCATACCTAGTGCGAAAGGCACTCTTTGGTATGTCACTTTCCTTAATCTTCAGTTGGTGATAACCCGACCTTAAGTCGATTTTGGAAAACACAGTTGCCCCCCGAAGTTGGTCGAACAAGTCATCAATCCTCGGTAATGGATACCAATTTTTTATTGTGACCTTGTTCAGCTGACGATAATCGATACACATTCGTAGTGTACCGTCCTTTTTCTTTACAAAAAGTATCGGTGCCCCCCATGGAGAATGACTCGGCCTGATGAACCCAACGTCTAACAACTCCTGTAATTGGGCCTTCAATTCCTGAAGCTCTGCTGGTGCCATTTGGTACGGTGGGATCGAGATGGGTTTGGTCCCTGGTTCTATCAGGATCTCAAACTTGATTTCCCTGTCTGGAGGGAGTCCTGGTAGGTCTTCTGGAAAGACATCTGGATACTCGTTCACAACTCTCACCTCGGTGAGATTCTGAATTTTGTCCTCTCTACCTATTACATAGGCTAGGTATGCCTGACATCCTTTTCTGATCAAGCGCCTTGCTCTCACAGCTGAGATAATACAGGGGTTGAACCTCCCCATATCGCCCTCAAAGCGTAAGGTCTTCCCGTTGCTATCTTCGAGTTCCATCACTCTAGTGTAGCAATCTACATTCGCACGGTGCTTTTCAAGCCAATCCATTCCGAGGATCGCGTCAAACTCTAACATATTTAGTGGCACAAAATCCCCGGCTAAGCTATGCTCCCCTATCTCCACATTGCACGATGGATAATAGTCCTTCCTTTCTATGTCTTCCACTAATGGTGTGGAAACCAATAGGGTTTGTTCCA